TTTTTTTTTCTTACAGATTTAATTATTCAAAATGAGTGCTAACAAAAATTTAAAAAATACGATTATACAGCCGTTATGTGCAAATGTTCAACATGATGAATATCAATTGCTATCAACTACACAAGTGGTAATACCTGAACAGCGAAGTATACAGCAACAAGGGCAAGAAAATCAAACGAGAAGAAAGAAATGTCGTGGCAATCGAAAGAAACAACGTTATCGACGACAACTTTATAATCAAGGTTTTGATTCAGAAGCTGTGGCAAAGTTAGTCGAGGAAAAATTCAATCCTCAACTCCAACAAGAAACAAATACAGAAACAGTTGAAGAGCGTGATTCTCATAATATTCAAGTCTCCATCGGTTCAAACCAAGTATGTTTTTCTTCTAAGTATTTGAATGATATAAAAATTCCTCATTATCTTTTTTTTTTTCAGGCGACAAAGTCTCCACGAAACAACATTAATAATAATATTACTACTACTATGGAAATGGGAACTAAACGCAAAAGAATCTTGTTATCACCAACACCAACAACAGAAACAATATCAATACTTGATAAACCAATAAGTCAATTATCAATATCACAAGCACGTGCTAAGAAAACCAAAACAGCAGCAGCTGAAACAAAATCGATACTTGATCAACGTTTTAGTCAATTATCAATATCACAGGAAGACGTTAAGGAAACTAAACCAACGACAGCAACAACTACAACAGCATTTGTAACTGATGAAATTAGCAATGGTAATAATGAGTCAACAATGAATTATTTAGAAAATTTAAAACCACGTTATTTAAAAGTATCTGATCGAATATTTAAACGAATATTAGTTGAAAGTATTGAAAATGGTTCCAAATTAATTGAATCTTTAAATACTCCTGAGAAAGTTCAAATTGTTCGTGAAATAACTGAAATTACCAATAATTTATATCATAAAGATTTTCAAGAAAAATTATGGCAAGAATATTACAATATAAGTTCTCAAGACATGCATTGGGAATTAAAGATAACAAAACAATTTGCTCGTCAAAACAGTCTACATCAAATAT